GGTGACCCAGCTGAGCGGGAAGCTGGCTCAGGGCACGCACAGGGAAGCGGTGACATCCGGGCGGGGAGCAGCTGTGGTGCCACTGCAGACTCTCCCGGAGCTTCCTTCCTGTGATGTGTAACCCTGACCTTTCTTGGTTGCCCCTTCCAGAATCCACACCGGTCACATTCTTGCCTACTCCATTACCAACAGGTAACTGTCCCTGTTCACCTTTGTGGGGCTCGCTCTCTGCTGCTGGATAGAGGTTGGGTTTGAATGGGACACGAGAAGTCTCAGGGTGTGGCTTTTGTTATCCTTGTCCCTGTGAGTGAGACTAGAGTCCGTGAAGGCCAGATGCAAGGTCTGGTCTTAGTGGGCTGGTCCACTAGGTGACCAGTGGAGTCCAGATGCTCAGCAGACATCCTCTGGGAGGTGAGGGGAGTCAGTGTAGGTCCTGGCTGCCTCTCAGTGCTGCCGGGTCCTCTGCAGGTCTCTCAGGCCATGGACGGCTGTCCGGGGAGGGGGTGAAACTGCCCGACCTGCTCCTATCTGGCCGGGTCCCAGCATCCCCAGGAGCTCTGCCAGAACCCGGGGAGAAGCACCCAGGAGCCACCAAGCTGTCCAGCAGGGGGAGGGTCTTGGCCTTCCCCTGGTAGCTGTGGTGCTGCAGCCTGGGTGTGTCCGGGGTGGGTTGGGGATCCCTTCCTGCTCACCTCTTTTTGGACTTGTGGGCCGCATCCCTGCACGTGAGCACCCCGAGACACGGGCAGGACAGGATGTCTCTGCTCCTCTCCCTGTGATGACGATGAGCTCCTGGGCTTATAGAGAGGTAACTCCCTTTAGGGAGTGGGATGCAGCTGCCATCAGGAAGTCTCTTGAGTCTGGAAGCTGCCTTTGACCTGTGCCCTGAAGAGAGACATGACTTGGGGTCTTGTGTTGCCCTCTAGAGACCGAATCGGGCTTGGCACTGAGGCTGGTGAACGGAGGTGACAGGTGTCAGGGCCGAGTGGAGGTCCTGTATCGAGGCTCCTGGGGCACCGTGTGTGACGACAGCTGGGACATCAACGATGCCAACGTGGTCTGCAGGCAGCTGGGCTGTGGTTGGGCCACGTCGGCCCCAGGAAGTGCCCGGTTCGGCCAGGGCTCGGGGCTGATCGTGCTGGATGATGTGGGCTGCTCAGGGAATGAGGCCTCCCTGTGGAGCTGCCCCCACAGCGGCTGGAACAGCCACAACTGTGGGCACCAGGAGGATGCTGGTGTCATCTGCTCAGGTGAGCCTTAAAGAAGTTGGGTGTCCCCCAGAGGGTTTCCCCTTCCATTCTGACACCTTCTCAAGGCTTTTTCTACATCTCCGTCTTCCCTGAAATCTCCGTAGCTCTTTGCTTAGAATTAGTGTTAGCTTTGGCCAAGCCACCAGGTATGAGGTTGGCGAATGGGACTGTGCGCTCGCTTCCTTCACGGGACAGTCGCC